CTTTCAGAGGGGTTTTTTGCATAGCATTTTTATAATATATAAAATATATAAAAAAATTTTTTAAATATATATATATATTAATATATATATATTATATATATATATATATAAAATATTCTATCGTCTAACATAGTGTCAGGAGTGTTTGCTGACGTCCCATTTTTTGCGAATATGAGACTCTATAAAGAAGATCAATATCATGATTTAGACAAAAAAAAAATAATCACTTAGTTACGAAAACAAATCCATGTTTATATCATTATCTTGATTCAATACTCAAGGAAAAAACATGTGTCTCGTGATCAATGTGCACACATACACACACATTCGAACCATCGACGAAGCTTCGCATTTCAAGAAAAATAAAACAGTCACTCTATCCGAGTACAAAAAAAATGATAAAGCTTCACTAGCATCAGGCTATTGTTACTATAGTTATCTATGCTCGTTACTTTAAACGGTGTTTATCATTTTAATAAATTAAACCGTATCACAATGTCTCGCTTTGCAGTAGAATGACAAAAATTTCCCCAAACATTTCTCCAATTTGGTAATGAGTTCGTATAATTTATATTAATGCTTGTTAGGTAAGACACATATGCAACAGTTCCATTGTCTGAAACAATGGAACAATACTCTTCTCCAGACTGAGGGACTGACCACCTCAAAACTTTAAGGGTGATGGACTGATTACATCGTCTTCAAGTCTCTTCTGCTTCTATCAACTTTTCTGTACTCGACTGAAGAAGCCTACTGTGTAGGCGAAACGTTTCGAAATAAAGATACCTAACTGTTGCATATGTGTCTTACCTAACAACCTGTCGGTATTTTATACCATTTTATTGTTCATATTAATGCTTAACCATGCGCAAAGGGACAAATGAGGTAAATTTTCCGGTAAAGATAATTGTTTTAACACTGCTGGCGGCACAGCTTACACGTAGGTACATTTAAAAGGATATATTGAAAATAAATATTTATTGCCATATATTCAGTAAATCACCAAAAAAATACAAAAGCTGATGTAAACTCAAGAAACATATAAAAATAATTTAATCTTAACGTTCAAGCTTGAATTTACACAGCTTGTGCTTTTAATGTAAATAATAAGCATCAATGTAGTTAGAATACCTTTCAAAGGAACAATGTGTATGAGGAAAAGCTACTTAAAACAAGGTTCACTAGCAGACTTATTACAAGCTCCCGAAGGGCTGTTTCATTTTCCATTTTAAACTGTTTTGCTTATATCTATTGAAAAGCAAATTTGTCATATGCCATTATGTAGACCAGGTTGGTGATGGTCGTGGCTCATTCTTGGTCAACTAGGCTGAATTTACAATGGGAAAAACAGCAGCAGCAGTGCTGCTCTTGTTACCTGCTACAGCACCAGGACTGATGGTGAAGAGTTCGTTGTTGATCAACACCAAGTCAGGGAAGTTCTCCGAGGTGAAGAATCCTCGACTGAATGTCTCTCCTGCCAAACTCAGTAAAGGTCCTGAGTTGGCAGTTTCTTGAAGCGCAATACCATCCTTTAAAGCCACCGACTTCCTTACCACCTTGACTACCAACGTCTCCTTTGGCTTTATCCGCGATGTCCATGATGTCCATGATGTCCATGGTGTCCACCACCTGGAAATCTGCCCCCGCCAATAATGCCTCCACTGCCAGGAAATCTACCCCCGATGCCTCCACCTCCTGGAAATCTTCCAATAAAGCCACCACTACCCGGGTATCTGCTGCCAGGGAAGCCATGTTGAGGGTTGGCTTCTGATAGTTGCAGGAAGCAAACAATTACTACAAGAGCGGCGGCGACTGTGATGCGACTCATACTGCAATGTAAGAGAAACAAATTGATGACACTTAGATGATACTGACGATGATACTGATGATGACAATGACGATGATACTGACTGAAGATACTGATGATGACACTGATGAGAAACAGACAATGATACTGATGATGACACTGAGATGATACTGATATACTGACTCATCCGGTTGACCTCACAACCCGGGACACAGCTAAGCAGCATCTAATTAGACTTAAGTAAGGTTGAAAAAGTCAATCTTTACATTTATAACATACTGAACAAGAAAGCTCACATATTATAATTCATTACATTAAGTTTGAAGTAATATTTAAACTAAACACATTGTAATGTATTTTTTATAGTATAAATTTTCATTTTCATTTTTGGTCTGAACTGTCAGAGATGTAGTGGAATTAGATGACGGAGGAAAGAGCTTCTAATATAGAAATCTCATCAAATAATTTAGCATTAAACAAAAATGAATAACGAATCAACATTAAAATTATTATTTACTAACTGCACACTTAAGTGCTCAATAAATGATGTAAAAAAAATAATGAGAAGATCAAATTAATAAATAACTGAATTTGGCTGTATTTTATCATTATTAAATTATAACCAATGATCACTAGAAAAGGCCTACAATAACTATTTTTTATAGTTAATGTTAAATGGTAATAACAATACAACAAATAAAATCAAATTTCATCTGAAAGTTATCTTTAAAATTAACCTGAAACTATCTATGTTCATTAAATATCTGATTGCTTATGAGTCAAATTGTGTAAAATGTTGCTCCGTTTCCTTGGATCACAAGAATGTTATTTTACACCCTTATTCAGATACCCTTCTAGAAAATTGATTTGTCTGTTGATAAATTCGGAAGTGATTATTAACTAATTTTCGATGTCAGGGAACTAATAACTTATACGAAATGGGTTTAAGATCGTGCAGGAAACTGACCACTGCAAGCGTAAGGAAAATGAAACGTTGAAAGTCAGGTAAAATGCATTCAATTGTTCCATTAAAGTGGTGTTCAACCAAGAGTAAATCAAATAGAAGCAGAGCTAAGAACTCTATAATCACCAAGCTGAGCGACTGATTACCTCAAAGACTCCATATTCAACAATTAGTAATCAAAATTACAACATTTATTTCCCTAACCATTAACAGAGGTCAATTGAATAATAGTTATTTTATGTATGTACTTTAACAAAATGTAAATTAAGCATACCTACGAATACTTCAAAATCAATAAAAGACAATTTCTATAACGGGAATTAACGTCTGCACGGTAGACACTGCAGTGGTAAGATTTGGAAACACACTCTGTTTATCCTTGTTAAGGAACATGAAAGTGAAAGTGTGTGGCTGCGTACGCTGAGATGTTGGCACTGATGCAGAGAGGAAGACCCAAGACTAGGCAGTAACACCACCTGCGAGTATAAATAGGTAAGGGACCCTGGACACCACCCAGTCCTAAACTAGTTGCCAGACACTGCTACACTCAAAACTCAATCAATTAATTGGTTTCAACACATCGACGATGACTTTGCTCTAGAGTTCATGAAAAAAATCATACACAACTAAGGAAAAATATTTTCATTTCAAAATTAAACCCTCAAAAACGCAAAGCAAAAGGGAGATTGTGAAAGGAAATTTTTAAGTCAAGGAGAGAATGTTCGTAGCCAAACTTTTCCCAGCTGCCTTGGGTTGAGTTACTCATACGTGTAACAACCGGACTAGCTTTGACTTATCTGGTTACACCACCCTCAACCCTGGGAATGTCACAACACACACACACACACATATATATATATGGGCTGGCTGACTTCTAATGATGTAATAAACCTTCTTTCTTGCTATGCTATATTGGTATGCATGGGGGCACTTCCTACCTCCAGCCACTCTGGCCACAATATCCCAGGAAAAGGCTTGGACTTCTTTCCTCCTTTTTTTCCGTCAACATTTAAAGTTCAGATGATGCTTTGAGTGCAACACGAAAGGCCTAGAATTTATCAATCAGCTCTCCCTTTGGTTGTTTTGCATATATTTATAAGCTTTAACAGACTGCGGCAGGCAGGGCTCGACCCTCATGAACACATTGTCCCGCCTCAAGAAGACAACACAACGCAATGTGTCACCTTACCACAGAGCCAGTGATCCTACAAAAGATCACGAATCCAGCAGAGCTTAATGTTTTTCCCTCGGTGAACCAGGACACTCGTAGCAGAGGTATCACAAGGAATAATTTTCAGCCTCCTCAGTTTTGAATACACGCCTCAACAAGCAGTCTATAAGGCACTGCAATCACTAAACAAGTGATTTTGAATCATTTACCAAACTGAGGCATCCAGGGCTCGGACCCCAAGACACCCTGTTCCACCACAAGAGACAACACAACGTACGTGTCCAACCTTACCACAGCGGCAGCGATCCAACAAATATCGCGCATCCAGCAGATCTGTAAAACTTGGTAAAACACCTAGCTCTTCTTGTTTGTGCGTGATCTTTGTAGGATGGATGGTCCGTCGGTTAGCCGTCGTGTATTTCTACTCTCCAAGAGACGTGCTAAAACGACATGGGTTAGAGTCCTCGGCTAGTAGCAGGGTCAGTGTTGTTATTGATTAACTACCACTCGTCCAATGGTATATATAAATGTTTGAGCAAAAAGAAAGTATTGAAATATTATATGTTTCAGTAGTGGGTGGGTTTGAACCTACTGGCCTGCGCCTTTTAGCCAGAGCACTTTTGTTTTAGAGATTTTTAAAAATGAAGTTGAAAAATAATGGAAAATAAGGTTTTCTTTAACCAAAAAATAGTGCAAAATTTCGCAACATGTTGATGCAATCAAGCTGGTTTCTATCATATTTCTCAGATGATGTTTCGAAAATGTAATTTTTATGTTTTTTGCTGTCATCAAGAGACAAGTAGGCGAAATAGATTTTTATGCATGTTTTTAACTACGTAAATGCTGCTGTAATGGCTGTTTCATGCTAAACACTCAACATGGCAAATTCTGTGAAGACTAAAGTGATGATACAGAGTTTGTTACTGCCTCAGTTTGCCTCTGGGTTTTGTCACAATGATAGGGTTTGCAACACGCTCAAATTTGATTTTTCATCTCCATAGAGTTTTGTAGAAACAAATATTTGAATATCTCAGGAATAAGTTATTGACATTTGTTTTAATTTTTTGCAAAGAGTAATAATAGGAGTGTCATGATTTTTTCACACAATGTTGATGAATAATGGTTCCATTAAGATTCAGAGGTGTTTTGCAATATGTTTTACCATTTTGTTTTTATTGACTCTTATTCCCCCCAAAAACGCCCCTAAAAAAAAAATTATAATGCAATCTATTGACATTTCTCGCAAAAAGTTTGAAATTTAGATAATCTAACTCTTTATCTTTCATCTGATGTTGACTAGAACATTGTACAACTTACCATGGAAGGAATGGTTTAAATGATAAATACAATGTCAATATCTTGCAACTTTGCAACAAGGAGTCCATGCACACATGTGTATAGGATGCAAACTGCTCCTTCATAACAGCATAAAGTTACATTTGAAAGTTGACCAAAAAAAAAAAAAAAAAAAAAACCCGATGTCTCTCATCCCCCCATTATGAACACTTCCCATGGTGAGCCTCACCCGTCCGTGGTTTTTTGCAATCGTTTATTTAGGTTTTTCCCTAGCGATATAGTATATGTTATTATATGTATATTATTTATATATTATATTACCATCACAGATGCCGAAGAAGATCAGATTTTCTCTGCTATTTTTTAAGATTCTAACTGGAGTTTACCTGAAGAGTTCCAGGGACAACGCCCCTCGCGGCCAGTCTGTGACCAGGCCTCCTTAGGTCATGTCCCCGGATGGCGACCCACAACATCGACTAACACCCGGTACCCAATTTTACTGATGGGGAACAGAGAACAACAGGTGAAAGAAACACGTCCAATGTATCTACTACCCTGCTGGTTGAATCGAACCCAGGCCCGCCCCGTGTGAAGCGAGAGTAGAAAGTCAACGAACGCCTCTCAACCAGTCATCTGTCGTGGACATGAGCGCCATTGAAGATGAGATACTGTGCAGCATTCTGAAATCATTTACTGAGTGAACGTTTCACCAGCCAGTGGCTTCTTCAGTGAACGCATTGACTCCAGGCTTAGGACTGATAACTCAAACTCCTCAGGCTATCCACCATCTTCTCTGTTTAGACTGAAAAGCCACGGCTGCGAAAGTTTCCACAATGGAGATCCAAAATGTTGGCACAGTTGTATAATTCATATGCCTAAGTGTTGCACAACAGTCTTATCAACGGGCTTCGACTACTGCGTGCACTTTCCGCGAATGGAGGAATCACCGGAGAAATAATATTTCATGTTTTTAAATTTACGGTGGATCGGGTTTACTATTCATTAACGTAAATGGGATTAGAAAAATCACTTAAGAAAACCAATTGATAAATTTTATTAGAAAACTTTCTGTCCTGGGGCAGTGATCTCTTACTGTCGGTGTCTAATACCATGATTACACGTGTATTATCTTATGGATTCATTGAAATATAAAGAAAATGTGTAGCTTACGGCTGCAGCGAAGGATAAGTTGTTGATCGCCACCATGCCAAACCCTTTCTAGGGTAGGGAGGGTGCCTTGAGTCCGAGCATTTAGCACATAAGACTGTCATTCCCATTTGCTTCCCTTGGGGCGGGATGGTCAGACCAGAGAGGGCCGTAGCTTGTGCAGGCCTGTGGACAGTTGGTCCCAAAGATGTGGAGGTACATGGCCTCCTCCCATGGAGACATAGTCTCCAGAACACTCCCCTAAAGACTGAGCCAAAGCCGAGCCACCACATTTGGAAAAGGCCCCGGGCCGGGAGAATACCGACTATCTTTGAATAATAATAATAAGTTGATAAGTGGCGACCTGCGTTGTCTAAACGAAAGCTAAAAAGGAAATATTGAGAAAGGGTTTGGAAAAAGACACAAACACAGCAAAAATTGATAC